ATTTCTGACAGAGGAGTGAAAAAAATTATCAGAAGAGTTGTCCAAGAGTATTAGATAAATTTCTTCATGTGTTCAATACTTTTTCCCTGTGCCATTCCACATTATTACAAATAACTTCATTTCTGGACATTTATGGTTTGATTTCTTTGTATATATGGATCACTTGGGTTGTTACCGACATCTGGTGAAAATTCCATGTCATTAGCACCTCTAGTAATATATTTACTGAGAAAAATGGTGACGTGTTCAATACTTATTTTACCCGCTGTATTTACTTCTACTAAACTTAACTTGTTTCACAACAAATCTMTATCTGGACCTGGGCAGGTCAAAGGTCAACATTATCTGCAGAGAAACGTCAGCACTGTTCGGTGAAATTTACCAACAAAGCTGTTTTTTCCAGCTTCCTTACCCACTATAATTCTGAAGAGTTTGTGATTACTCTGTTCTGAATTCATGCATTAATTCACAGAAAAAAAAACATGATCAGATTCAGAATACATCCCTAAAGAGAATATAAAAAATATGGCCATTTAACTTTTATCCAATTTAAATATTTGATTGTAAACCATAKAAGTATTGTATGAACCAATCATAAGTAATGACAAAATTTCAAGCTGAAGATAGAAAAAGTCAACTAGTAATGAGGTAAGATGCACCGAAGTTACATGAAACACTGGCAATCTGGGACTGTTTTGTTGCACAAGCAAGGACATAAGTTCCGTGGAGGAAAGAGCAAAAACGTCCCCAAAGGTTCTCTGTCCAAACACGATCTCCTGAGAGATTTTTGGTGTCAAGGAGACAAAAAAACTGAGCTCTCTGGTGAGCCGGAGGCAAACGTTCACAAAATGAAGCATTGCACTTCTCTTATGACTATAATTCACTTATTAACACGCCCGTGACCATTTTCTCAGCAACAGTTGATATCTTTCACTCGATTGCTAGTTCTATTAAATTTCTGACAAGACTCAGTGAAAAGTCATATTACGAGGTCAAAAACCCATCAATGAGATCTGAAACCAACACCAGGACTTTATGTTCCTGCAATTATGATTATACAGTAAATCTACAAATTACTCATATTTTGCCTACCAGTTTATGGCAGCGTATTTTCTTAGTTTATTGGGTGCAACATGCACCTGAAGAGTTTAAGCAATTATAAATGACTCAGTGGTTTTACCTGTTCATGTGTGCTGGGCCGTAACCTCCAATAGCATAGATCATGCCGTCCAGCACAGCAGTGGCAAAACAGCTGCGGGATTTTGTCATGGGAGCCACGGGTTGCCACTCCTTCAGCTTGGGGACGTATTTCTCCACAGACTGAAGGTAGTACTGCCCGTCGTAGCCACCCAGCGCGTACAGCTCCCCGGCTAGGACCACCACCCCGAGCGTGCTGCGGCACTCCGCCATGCGCTCTACCGAGGACCACGTGTTGCTCTCGGGGTCCCAGCTCTCCACCGTGCTCTCGTGTCGCCGATAGCTAATGCCCTGCCTCATGTGCGTGGCGATGCCTCCCACCACGTACACTTTGTTGTCCAGCACTGCCACCCCGAATTCGTAACGGGGAACGCTAAGAGGGGCCAGTCCTATCCACGAATCTGTCTGAGGAAAATACATTTCCATGCTGTAAGAAAAAAATATATATGAGTAAGATGATTTCAAATAGCACAAGTTGCTTTAAAACGAGTACATATGATAATCACCACCTTTCCAATGTTGCAAACAGTCCAGCTTTGCCTCCGACTGCGAGCAGTACCTTCGGGGCACACCTGGGCCGTGCTGACAGCACAGTTTGATAAGAAAGTCTGTGCTCAGGCATAAAATGATATTTAAGAGCCTCGTTGAGCAGGTGCTTGCATGCATGGTCGTCTCGTATAAGGTGRTTGGCTTCATATAGGCGAGTGAGGAACTTAACGCTGAGAAGAGGAAGGCGCACGCAGTGCAGCAACTGAGCCAGGTGCTGCTGTCTCTCCGTCACGTCGTATTTGATCCACGACTCCAGGGCATAAAACACGGTCTCCTCCGTGTCCACCTTGAGACAGTCATTAGACACGATCTCGTCCAGCTCTGCCCTCGTCAGTTCAAAAAACTCCTCCGTCTGGCAAACCTCCTCAAAGTTCTCACAGATGAACTTGGTCGCAGCCAGGCAAAGGTCATGGCAGCCGTAAGTCTCTGCGAAGCGGGAAATACCTATACAGTTTCCAGCATCCAGCTGGCTCTCTAAGAAGGAACAGCACTCCTTTAGCACAAGCTTAACCTGGAGTAAATTAGCAGCCGGCAGCAGAGATTCAACTGTCTCCTGGGAGATAAACACGGTGCCAGTGTATGCATATTCCACAATAGCCTGGAAGAGAAACGGTACAGGCATCAGTAAACATTTTTACAGCCGATTTGGATTAACTRGAGTCTGCTGGCTCCGAGCGTACCTTCAAGGCAGTCTCGTCAACGCACTGGAATTCCACCTCGGAGGTCTCCTTTTCCGAAAGGTTACCGGTAAACATGGCCTTGAAGTAAGGACTGATGCTGGCCAGCACGACTTTGTGGGCGTGGATCTTGGCGTCACCCACGCGAAGGACGATGTCGCACAGTTCATGGTCCTGCCGCAAGAGCTGGAGGCCCTGCAGCAGCTGCTCCGAGTGAGGTCGCGTGAGACTTGCAAACATATAGGACTGGTCCTGCTGGTCCATCTGGGCACAGGAATCCAAACGTGAATGAAGAGTTTGTAAACTTTAACATTTACTGTGTCTGTCATGAGGCCCAAGGATGGTTTACAGAGAGAATGGGAATAAAAAACAAAAAACATTTAAGTCAGAACAGAAAGTGGTGAGAATAAAAAGCTGTTCGATTTAAAGGTATGTTATGAAGAATAAGTAATGCTTTAAATGTAAAAAGTGTTGCAAATTGTAAAGATGAGATATAATTTCAGTGGATCAGCTTTGTCACAAAGTTTCCACTCTGGTGTGAGGACTAGACAGCAGGTCAGTGTCAGATGGGGCGTATGGGTGACGAAGGTCAGAAAGGTAACAAAGAGCATGACCATTAGTTAACGATAAGAGCTTAGTAAAAACATTAAAAATTAATAAAAAGTCAGAAACATAACAGAAAATATGTGATGCTGAGTAAAGTTTCATACGCTGTTAAGTTTTTAAACATACCTTTATACAACTGATTTACTTCAGGTTCTGATGTAGGGAAGTAAAGACCCCACTGCCCAATTCATTTTGTCATTTAAAGTGAGGACATCTGCACAGGTTATCCACAGATTATCACAGATTAGCAAAGGCAACAATATTTTATGATTTCATTCCTATCACCACCCCAAAAAGGTTTCAGACTCTGGATTTTCTTTTTACTACAAGTCCTGATTTTATCAGGTTTTATGTTTGCACTCCATATTCAGAAGTATTATTGTGCTACTGCTTTATTTTCAGATTTTTTATTTCTCAGAAAAGTTAATGCGTTCGATTTCTGTTTACATGAGCAAAAAAAATAAATATCTCAAAATTATCCAAACAGACCAAAACAAATTATTTGTGTACTTTTATTACTATTGAAATTGATAATGAAACATCCAAAGCAACATCAGATCAAAGTGGATTGAAATGATTTGTGAGGTTGTTAGCGATATCCAGCCCTACTTTAAAGAGATTCACTTAGTACCAAAAAGCAAAACTTAATTCCAGTTGTTCAGACAGGTTATCAGAGTTTCTGACACTCGATCAGAAGGAAACAGACAGGATTTTGAGACGTTTCTAAGATTAAAAAGCCAGAACGGATGTTGGATTTAATGTGAGGGTGGGCAGATGGAGAACCCTAACCCTAATACCTCCAACCTTCCTTTAAGGACACAGTCTAAAGCTCAAATAAACACTAGCTGGGGTTAAATCAAATGTGTACACAGTACAGTAAAGGAAAATGACCAGGAAAGAGCTTAGGTTTGATGTAGATATGCTGATCAATATGAAGTTAAATGGGGATAATCATACTTAAGTGCAATAACTGGTTATGGGAACATGCTCTGAGCAGCAGAAAGCATTCAGGGTCATTTAGACCTACTGTACTCAATTTCCCAACGCGTTTCTATTAGCAGTCTCTTTTAAGGTAAAGGTAAATAAGCATTATCCTCTAAATCCAACGCTAAAGCTGCTTAAAGTCAACCAAACCTGAGAGCTAGTAAGTGCAAATGCTTCACAACTGAACCTAGACTGTTGTTTAAGCTTATATCAAAAACAAAAACAAGCGTTATTAACGCCTGTTTTTAACTTGTTTGACCAGGGTACCTGTTCATAAATTGACAATAAAATAAAAATAACACGCTAGCTTTAATCATGAGCAGACCCAGCTAACAGAAAACCAGAAGTAGCTTCGCTTTATTTATTTWTTTTTTATAGCGGATATGCTAATTCGCTCAGACTTGTTTTCGATACCTGCAAATAGCAGGGTTTATTTATGCATTTTGCATCATTACACTGAGGTTAGCTGCTAAAAAAWAATAATAATAATAAACTCGGTTCTTCTTGTGCTAGCTGCATCAATGATTGATATACAGTAACATGGCTGACAGATACAAAACGTGACGTTTTAGCTAGCTTTCTGCTAACTCATATATCGTCAAAGGAAAAAAAAAGACAAACCTGTGATTTATGGTTCGTCGGATGCGCCAAAGTTTCGTCCGACTGTGCGGTGGCGACGACTGAGAACCCCGGGCGGCTATCAGCAAAACAACCGACTGCCAACCTAGCCACAAAGCTAACGACAAGCTCTCCTTTGATTAGAACGACCTATCACAATAAAACACCCACTTCCGTTTTCAAAATAAAAGATATCCATCCCAGCAGCTGTATTTTATTTAACCTTTTCCAAATGAAATACAACTTCCTCAGGTCAACTGTCATGCATTTTGTTTATTTA